GACTTGCCACGGTCTCCAACCCTCCTCCTTTCTCATCCGGGCTTGGGACCGGCCATGGCGGAGTTATCTGCCGATTATTTTGAATGTAAATAAGTGTTTAACGTCATAATTGACCATGATGTTCCCTTCAACCGGGTTAATCAATTTCACTTTCTCAGAGGACTTATCGGAATGTTTTCTTTACGTTGGATTATTTGTTCCAGTTAAAGATCGGAGTTTACTGTAATAAATTTTATACACAAAATTAGTCACATTTTGAACATGGAAATTTCATACTAACTGTGTGTGAAAAACGGTGTAACCATTTGTTTAATCAATTGAAGCATTAATAATTATAATAATAATCCGTTTGCTCCGCCGCCGGAGGGATTTCATTCTTAGGCATTTGTTTTTCTGTGTAATGTTAAGCTAGATATCTCGCTGCTGAAACGTCGATACTCGCACTAGTGGTGTTCCTCTCCCTTCCTCGGTCATAATTACTTCTGCTTCCCGCAACAGCTCTTAGTGAATTTAAAATGAGATACGATCGCTGAATTCTAAATGCTGAATCCGACGCGCCAAACCTCGTGAGGTCAGCTGATGTTTTTCAAGGCATCGGCCAAATGTTAATTTCTCCTTTCATAAACCACATTTAAGCTCACCTAACTGCGGATGGATATCCAATCCTAACTGCGGATGGATTGAATGTTTGGATCAAAGGATCACCGGTGTGTTTACTGTCTATCGTTGTTATTCCTTGATACGTTTTATTTTCTTTGGGATACAGCTCTAACGAGAGTACCCACATACTCAAGCTCTAACGGATCATTGCAACATATCAAGACTGAACAACCAAAAATTGTTCAGGTAGTTCGCACAAGCAAGGTTGCACTAAAAAATCTCTCTTTTGAATTAGATATAGCTGAGAAGAAATTCCTGCAAATTCTTGTCAAAACCAGAAAGTGGAGTTCAGCCCTTCTTCCTATCACTCCTGATTTACCGAAGTAGCGCATCGTCCCATAGCTTCTAGTAGCTAAGGGGACCGTTTAGTTTAGTCATGTCACGG